AAAAGGGTCTAGGCCCGAAACGTCAGCCTTTCTGCTCCTATGATGCTGCTTGGCCTGCTGTGTTCATCCAGCTCTGCACCTTGTTGTCTCGGATTCTCCAACATCTGCAGTTCCTACTATCTCTAGCCAATCATTAGCTTTATCCAAATTCTTTCTGGTTGGTAGGTGCTACTGGAATGCTCCCCTTTTCATAAACTGCCTTCCTTTACTAAATATTCTTCCTGCTAAGCAGAACTAGTAGCTCATCTTCTGGTGAAAGCAAGTACAAACTCATTCATTCTCTATTCTACACATTTTTTTCAGGAAAGTTTTTTTTTAACAAAATCAATACAACATTAGCTGTCTCAAAAGGGCAAGTCTAAACACTCTAAATGACACAAGTAATAGGCCAAAATGCCATAGGGCCTTCAATTTTTAGATGGCACCTCACTCTGTGTGGAAAATGTCAGTGACCAGTGAATGAGACAGTGGCAGCCTCATTAGGCAATCTCTGTATATTTAAAGCCTATTTAACTTCTTAGAACTTGAAGGATGTGTGAGTAATGGTTCACTAAAATGCTTAGTATCCAACAAAAGGGCCTGAATCTGCATAGCATTAAATCTAAATTTTCTTTGTTTTAGGAAAGAAAATTTGTTTTTACACAAGGTGAATACAAATGAATCATGCCTAAAGTTGTCTGAACTACTTAATCTGTCCTGTCTGGCCTCTTATTAGAGTTGCAGTTGAGATACTCTAGCACTGTGAATGAGCTTAGAACAAATTCAACTGCACAAAGTAATTTTTTTTCAAATAAAGACTGAGATGAGTTAATCATCTAGCTAAATCTGGATTATAAAGCAGCAATAGTAAGAGGAGAACTGGCACTTTGTTACAACATTGTATGTTAATCTAAGCTAAAAAAATGATACTTTACTCTTCTTTAACAAATCTTTAAGCGCTTTGTGAAATTATTGAACGCTGATGTTAAAAAAGGCCACTGGAGCTTGCATCTAGCTAATCTCACTTACTATGTGACTTTATTTAAAATGAAAATATATTCAGCATAGATAGAATGTTTCCCATCATATATTGCCACAAAACAGCCAGTTTACAAAAATTTTTCCAAGACCTATGAAACAACTTACATTTATATATCACCTTTAACATAGTAAGGCTCCCCAAGGAACTTCACAGGAGTGCTGTAAAACAAAACTGTTACTGACCCACAAAGACATGATTGTGGGCAATGGCCAAAAGCTTGATTAAAGAGATAGGTGCAGAGGAGGAATGAGTCAGAAACATTCAGAAGTTTAGGGAGGGAATTTTAGAGCTTTGGGTAGAGGCAGATAAAGACACGGTGATCAACTGTGGAGCAATTAAACTTGAGTGTTCCAGAAATAGATGAGCATAAATATGTGGAAGGGTTTGGAGTTGCAAGGAGATTGCAGAAATAGAAAAGAATAAATCCATGGTTTGGAAAATATATTTTAAAATCAAGGCATTGCTTAACATGGTGCCAAAGTAGGACAGTAGGCACATGGGTGTTAGTTCAGCATGATGGCATCAAGGATATTGGAAACAGAATTTTGACTTCAAGTTTATAGAAGGTGGAATGTGGTTGCCAGCAATATACTGGAACGGTGGTAACAAAGGCATAACAAAGCTTTTGGTATTCTAAAGAACTCAACGGGTCTTGAAATGTTAACTACTTATCTCTGCATTGATGCAGCCAAGCCTGCTGAGTTTCTTCAGCACTTTGTTTTCATTTACAAAATGAAGCTTTTAGCAGCAGATGAGCTGATGCAGGGCTGCAAGTGATGTTTCAAAAGTTGAAACAGATGGCCCTGGTGATCACATGAATAAATAGATGGAAGTTCACCCTGGGGTCAAATATGATACTGATTTACAAACATTCTGTTTTAACTCAGGCAGGGATTAGGATGCCAGGGTGAGGGATAGAGTCAGTAGCTAGGGAATATTTGGAGCAGGGGTGTAGACAATGGCTTTAGTCTTACCAATATTTAATTGGAGGAATGTCTGCTCATCTAATACTGGATGCTGGATATGCAATCTGGTAATTTAGCAACAATAGAAGAATCCAGAATGGTGATGTCGATATAGCACTGGTTGTCATCAGTACACAAGAGCTCTTGGATGATGCTAAGGGTTGAACTAGACACTTTCATAAATGATATGATTATCTAGATCGCATCCTCTAAATCTTCTCAAATTAGTTTGACCTCCTTCAACTAGAGGTATAACCAAAAAATCAGAAGGAATTTCCTTCCTTTCACTTTTACTCAGTCACCAGATGATAGGAACATCCGTAATTATACAAAATGAGATTCAAGTGAGATTTTCCTGTTGCTAAACTTGACTGCACTAGGCAGTGACCTTGAATTGCTACTGGGATGCTGATATGAAGGCATCAACAGCAGATTTTTTAATTTCTTGTCTTTCTTGTCTGCTGGACATTTCCAAGTTGAGGGATAAAGCTTTCATTGGCCACCGCAACACCAATTGTGGTGTCATCTGCAAATTTACTAGCGTTGGTATTAGATCAGATCTTCTACACACAAACCTGGTGAACAGGCTAGAAAGCAGATTACAATAAAATTGGATCCCAGAAGGAAGGAGATAGGGTGGTTGGGTAAGGGTGGGGAAATGAGGGGTGTAGAAATTCATGGAGGGTGATTGAATTTGCCTCAACTTTACGGAACTGAAGTCTAACTTTACAGTCTGACCCTGAGTTGTGGATGCTTATGATAGGAAAATATGAACTGGAGCAAAGGTGGCGATCTTGGAGATTTAAGGTAGTTGGAAGAAGGAGTTTTGCTTATGGCACTGATTATCTAAATTTACTAAGGTAAATCAATCTTGCAGTGTGTGATGGCTCGATAAATAATGAATGAGCACTTGCTGGGTGTCCATCTCTTGACTGTGCAACTCAGAAATAATTTTCTCTTAAATATGTATCTTCTAATTTGTAATTAATCTCTATGGATAATGCTATTTCTCAAGAGACAAGCATAACATTTGGGCCTGCATTAATAATATCCTGATTCTGCAAACTAAATTAACATTTCTTGGTTGAACAAGAAAGGAACATGTACTATTAAGAATTTTACAAGTAAATGAGAATGATAGTTAACGTCTTTACATAAAGAAGAGGATCTGCAGAATATGAATACAATACAAAAGTGAATCTATGTCACAATAGTAACATAAGTTTACTTCCTAGGAAAAGATAATTGAACACCTTCTGGAATGAAAATATTCATAAAACAGCTATCCATGATTAACACAACTCAGAAATATCAAAGTATCTTATAATTTCAATGACACTGCAACAAGTAAATGCCGCCATATGATTTTTTTTCTTTTTTCGCCAACTGCTCTTGTACCAGAGGAAATTGAAAGTGAAACTCTATTGGAACAGTGTAGCAACAGTGCTATACGCATAAAAAAAAAACTTATGGCTGACTCAAAGCTTGCCTTCTAATATGTTAACTCTTTCAGTCCATTCCATCAGAGCTTTGAACATGCCTAAATTATGTTTCTGCAATAAATTCTCTGGCAAGTCATTCCAGTTAACCAGTAAAATGATGAATGCAATTCAAATTTATTTTTCGGTATAGATATTGGTGATCTGACCAAACATCCTCTCATTAAAATATTATGAACATACTTTATTTAAACAGATCAACATTTTATTGCAGTTCATGAAGATTTCCTCAACTGTGTAGACCGCAGAGTTTGAGGTATTTTTTAAAGAATAAAACATTCCTCAAGCTGAATTGTTAGAGTTGAAATTAATTCTTCTCCTCCTCTACACCTTCTCTAATGCTTATGCATCCTTTTGTCCGATAACCCTAACTCCACATTATTCCAGGTGGCAATTATACTATATAGCCATAAGTTACATTATGCTATACAAGTAGTTTGTTAGCTATTTAATTGCTTCATTTAATTGCCAAGATCGTTATTTTATTGATAAAAATGCAAAGTACTAAGAATTTATGCCCAATTCTAACAAAATATTAATCGATGAGATTCCCTACAGTCAAAGCGGATTTAGTTACTGTATTTAATACAGTGTTAGCATTCTCCTATATGGGCTAGGTTCCTGCCATGTATTGTTCACCATTCATAATTAACAATATTCTACGTATGGACAGGAATGGTAACTCACCGAGCACATAGCAACACAAGTTGTATTTGCCAATAACAGGACTGCCATCAAGCAGATGTTCTGCTTATCACACAAAATAAGCAATGCTGTATCTGAGTTTCAGTGCAGTAATGATGTCAGGTATGTAGCTTATACATCTCAAAGACTAGTGGATCATATCAAACAGCATATCTCTTTGACTGCCACAACCAGCAAGGTACCGACCTTGTGTTCACAACATTGTTCAATATTTGATGTCATTCTACAATCAGACAACATTTGCTAGGTAATCTTAAGTGTATCAAGAATTACAAGGGCAACCAATTTAAGGATTTCCAATTGAACTCAAGGTGCAGTGTACGTGTGCATTAGAAGCTAAACTGATTCAACACACAGGGCTATGTTCTTTGCAGACAAAATGAACAAGTGCACCTATTTCAACTCAATGAAACGGATGACACTCATTCACTGATTCATTACTCAGAAAATGCCCTGACCAATGAAGAAGTTTCAGCTTGCCTAGTCTGTAACCTAAACCAGGCTTGGCAGTTAACAGTCAATCATTAATTTCTTATTGAAAATAATTTAAGGGATGTGGGCATTGCCAAATAGGCCAGCATTTATTATTTATCCTTTGTTGCCTTTGAGAAGGTGGAGGGAATGCCAGGATTTTGACCCATCAGTGCTGATGGGATAGCAATATATTCCCAAGTTAGGATAGTGAGTGACTTGGAAGGGAACGCGAGTTCTGCTGTTCCCATGTATCTGTTGCTGTTATCTTTCGAGATGGAAGTGATCGTGGTTTGGTAGGTGCTGAATAAGGAGCCTAGGTGAATTGGTGAATTTTTGCCGTGCATCTTGTATATGGTGCATGTTGCTGCTACCAAGTACACAGTCATTGCAGCGAGTGGATGTTTGTGAATATTATGCCAATCAGTGGGCTGTTTTGTCTTGGATGGTGTCAAGCTTCTTCAGCGTCATTAGAGCTGCACTCATACAGGTTGCAACTACTAGGTTCTCCAGGGCAATATATCTACCAGAGTCCACTTGTCAGCCAATCTGCACTTTCCTCTCAAACTGTATAAATGTTAGTTTTCTCCTTTATTGATATTCATGTGAACTGTCTGGATGAGTACAAGATGAAAAGCTTTGACAAAATGTCTCGTTTCTGCAATACTCAAAGCCAGAGCAATACAGGTAAGTTCTGCTATAACACGTGTTTCGTTAACGCGAATTGCCTGTAACACGACTGATGAATAGGGGACACTGTTTGGATAATGCAAACTTTCTACTGTACAGGCATAGCGATTTCTGTAGCAATTTCCCTATAACACGATTTTCCAAAGAACGAGGTCATGCAAGAACGCAACTATCACGTTATAAGGGAACAACCTGTATTTAAAGTATGGTTGGCTTATTTAAAAATCAAAGGTATTGATTTTAATCTTGTTAAAAAAAAATGCCAAAGCAAACCCCAAAATGTTAAAACAGCTTTGTAACAGTGCAGGGCTACAAAGGATGGTGTCATTTAGCAGTGTGGCAGAGATGTGCATCATCTTTAAAACTTAAGGAACTATTCATGAAATATAAAGCCCCTAAAGGACAAAGAGGAATGCAGGAAGAATTTACAGGGTATAAACAACTGCATTATAAAAATTATAAAACTAGTAGCCAACTTACCATGTCAATTCTACAGTTCGATGTTATGTATTATTCTTCAGTATCACTTCTGTCTCACCGGAGATCAAATCTGAAAATTCACAATTAAATAAGGTTGATATACACCAGAAAAATAAAAGCAGAAACAAATTAGTACAGCAAAACAGTCAACTCGCACAAGTGTAATGGCTGACAAGATGTAAGTTACAATTTAAAATAAACTAAATACAAGCTCATCCTTCTGATTTTTTTGACAATATTTTTAGTCGCTTCATTTTTTATTCCCATGTAGTCCTAGCATCCTAGTCAAAAATATTTACACATTTGAAGATCAAACGTTAATTGCCACTAGTTCTGAAGCAAGTTTTATTCATGCACTTACCTCAATTTACTTTTTCTGTCATCATCTGTTCATGGAATAGTGACTTGGGTTCACAAACCAATTGCCGCCATTGTTCAAGTCATCCCTACATCAGCATCACACAGAGAGGACGACTGGTAATCTGATCTCATTAATCTGATTAATGAAATAAAAGCCAAATTTTGGTGATGCGCACATAATACACTTGTATCATAATCATGGAAATCAGAGGCAGGTAGGACACAGTAACAAATTAATTACTCTCCAGTTACAACATACAAGGCAGCTAAAGATAAATATTAAATGTGTCTCTTTTAGGTACTGCCCGTGTTTTGTCAATCCTCTGATTCTATTAGTCCACTGCACCAGTTCCTCTTTTATTGTCATTTTTTGTTACCTCGCATTTTGCCTTGGAAATTCTCTTTTTGCAATTTTTAAAAATTTCTGCCTGTTGATTTTTCTATTTGCCTTCTTTCTTGGTGTAAGTTACAGGTATCTATGAGCATCACACACATTTTACACTAAATTTTAATCATCCCATTTTTAAAAGGTCAGGGTATAGTAATAGATTTGATGTGGGATAGAGAGTTTCATCCTGTAGCCTGTAGTGATTAGAATGAGGTCAACCAGGTGGATCTCACAGAAGGAGGTCCCTGACCAGGTTAACCTGGTCCAATCATGGAGTCCTGAGTGACAGATATAAACAGAAGGGCCAGGGGTTCTGTTCACTCCAGGAGCTGGCTCTGAGCTAGTTGGTCAGTGTCATGTACTATGCATGTGTAAATAAAGGGTGACTTGGTGATGGGATATTGGCCTTCATGGAGTTATTTCATTGCCTAAAACAAAATTTTCAGTATTTGCATTACTTCACTTTCTGCAAATGAAAAACTGGGGGATTGTTTGAGAATAGATGCAGTGGGCCTGAGAATGGAGATTGGATTGCAATGGGGTCTGGGATACAAAGCTAGAATGGGGAGAGGGTACAAAGGATTCCCCAAAAAAAATAGATTTTGTTCTGTTGGTATCTTGTTCTCAGGCCATGAGCGTGGACTGTGGTACAATTCAGGGACAATCTGAGTTTAAGATGACAAAAAGCTTTAGAATGATCAAGCTGATGCTCTGATTGCTTCTCAGCTTCACTTTTTAAAAAAAGACAGCTGCAACAAATCAGCTATTTCAATAGTTCTGAGGCAGTTCAACAACTAAAGTCCCAACTAAGTTTACAGCAGCACCCTAATATATATCTGATTTAGAAAAAGATAGAACTGAATTTATAAAATTATTTTACCTATTTCAAATATTCTACATACAACTTAATTACTCTGAAGGGTAGTGATGATTATGAAGTCATGGTATAGTGAAAGGAAAATTAAGCTAGGGAAGCAGAAATAATGGAGCAACCTAAAACAAGTCCAATGAAGGCAAGAGTTGAAACATTTAGGACAGACCTTCTTGAAGATCAGTGGGATCAGTGGGTTCAGCAGATATGACACCCAATATTACACAAGATTTCGGAGTATGTCCCATCTAGAGTACTGACTACATCATCTAATTACTGTTTGTTCAGCCTCATTCCATTTATTAGTAAAGTAACAAAAGTCAGCAATAGCTTTGCATCAACATAAAAGCAAAATATTGCGGATGCTGAAATTCTGAAATATTCAGCAAGTCTGGCTGCATCTGTGGAGAGAGTTACAGAGTTTATGGCTGCAGTCAAGGCATGTGTTAAATAAAACATTAACTGTTCCTCTCTCCACAAATGTTGCTAGATCTTCACATCAATAATCTGTTCATCAACATTCAACTTGGTTTCAAAAGATCACTCTGCTAAGAACATTGAACCTCAATTTGATCTGGACACATACCTAAGAGCAGAACATCAAAAAAGAGAGGGAAGATCAAACATCTTCAAAATCAAAAGTGACACTTTACCAGCAAGGTACCAAGCAGCCCTAGAAAAATGAAGTCAGCGTGATCAAAAGTAAAGCAAAGTGACTGGTGTTACACCGGTTTCAAAGGAAGTAACAATTACTGGAGGCCAGTCTCAGACGACCACTACAGAAGTTTGTCAAAAAAAGCCTCTCCTGCACGGCCATCTCCAACTGTCTTAATGACTTTCCTTCAATAAGGTAAAGACAGAAACCCATGAACAGATCAACACTGCGTTCAGTTATATTGTTCAATATTAAAGCAGCTATACGAACCTACGCAGAGATCCACGGTTGGAAGTGGTAGATAATTACCATTACAAATGAACAAAAAAGCCCAGTCATCTCTCCTTCAATGTCACCATCCTCCCAAATTCGTCAAACAAAATGAGGTGTCACCACTGACCAGATATGACATAACTATAGCAAGGCTGCAAGAGACCGCATGCGGAGTATCACCTCTGAAGTACTAAAGCTGGAGCCAACTATATAAGCCTTCCAATTTCAACTCAAAGATTTATTTAAAAATCAATTTCTTTTCATTGAGGCACTCATTCAAAGCAAAATGGAAAACATTAAACATAGTAGGAAAAGCAGAGTAGAATAACATGCGTTCAACTATTCAATAACCTAGCTGATCTTCTACTTGCCACGCTATCTCCATTTTCCCCAGCGCTCAAAAAAAAAACAACGCATGTTTTAAATTAATTCAAAGACAACTCTATGGTGTAAAGAAATCCAAAAATTCGCAATAGTGTGACAAAATTCTTCTTTATCTCAGCCCTAAATTGCTAAGTCCTTATTTGGAGACTGCACACTCAAGAGATCACCTTCTTCCAAAGAAAACATCTTAGCATCTAACTTGTCATACTCCTGAAGAGTTTTATGCTTCAAACCGACGCCACCTTATTCTTCTAAACATCTTTCAAAGCCCCTCTGTCTTCTAAAAGTTTCAAATCAACAGAGAGATGAATTAGTATTGATCAATTAGGTCAGCACAGCTGTAATGACACTATCTGTGAAACAGCAATTTCTTTGACGAACACGTGTTAGTGGACTTAATATCCACCCTTTTGACCACTGAAGCATTGCAGTATATGCAATCTGCAAGATGCAATGCAACAAACTACTAAAATGACAATCTCGAACAAGCTCTACCACTTGAAAAGGATAACAGCAACAACAATTCTGCAAATTTCACTCTCAAATCTCTCACTATCTGATTAGGTTATGTATCCCTATTTTTCCATCATTATTGGGTGAGAGTCCTACCTCCTCTACCAACTCCACCTCATGAGCAGATGAAATGTAGGGGGCAAAGAAGACTTTTCGTCATCCTTGCACAGCAAATAGTTGTGACCGTCAGCCTGACCTTGTCAACATAACTGCGTCTTAGAGGTAAATCAGAAAAAAAAACACAAATGAAAGATACTGCAGTGCTGAACATCTGAAATTTTGGAAATGCTCGTGTTCAGCAGAATCTGTGGGAAAGTAACAAAACAATGTCTAAGCCCACTCTCAATTGTTCCAGAGAAGGTGGTGAGCCACTTCTTCAACGACTGCAGTCCACAATGTTCTTTTAGGTACAACTCACAAAAGGTATAAGGAACTGAGTTCCAGGAACGTGACTGAGTGACAAAGAAAGAGCAATAATATAGTTCCAATAAAGATGGTGTGTGGCTTGGGAGGGGAACTTACATGTGTTGCTGTTCCAATGTGCCCATGGCCTTCTTTCATCAAGATGGTTGAAAATTTGTAAAACCCTGTTAAGGGAAGACTTGGTGAATTGCTGTTGTCATCTAGTATATGGTATACACTGCTGCCACCAATGGTAGCGAGAAGGAATGCTTAAGATGATGGATGGGGTGACAAATACACAGACCACTGTGGTTTGGATGGTACTGAGCTTCAAAAGATTTGTGTTTAAACAGCTGTCCTCATTCATGCCTGAAGTACTCCAAACTGCTAAAATGTGCTTTCCAATTGGTGAGCTGACTTTTCAGAGTCTGGAGATGAGGTATTTGCTGCAGAATCCCAGCTTCTGATCTGCTCATGTAGCCACAATATTTACATAGCCAGTGCAGCAGGATTTCTCATCAATGACAATCCCCAGGGTGAGGAGGTTTCAATGATGGTAGAATCATAAAGCATGGAAATGGACACTTTGGTCCAACTAGTCCACACCAACCGTGTTCTCAAATTACACTAGTTCCACCTGCCTGAATTTGACCCATATCCATCCAAACCTTTCCTATTCATATATTTATCCAAATGTCTTTTAAATGCTGTAATTGAACCCACACCAATCACTTCCTCTGGCAGTTCATTCCACACACAAACCACTCTGTATAAAAAAGTTGCTCCTCATATCCTTTTAAAATCTTTCTCCTCTCACCATTAAAATATAGAATTCATAGATCATAGAATTCCAACAGTATGGAAACAGGCCCTTCAGCCCAACAAGTTCACACTGACCCTCAGAGCATCCCACCCCAACCCATCCCCTTATAACCCACCTAATCTACACATCCCTGAACACTATGGGCAATTTATCATGGCCAATCCACCTAGCCGGCACATCTTTGGACTGAGAGAGGAAACCGGAACACCCGGAGGAAACCCACGCAGACACGTGCAGAACATGCAAACTCCACAGACAGTTGCCCGAGGGCAGAATCGAACGCAGGCTCCTGGTGCTGTGAGGTGGCAGTGCTAACCACTGAGCCACTACGCAGCCCCATTTTGAACTCCCCCATGTTAGGGAAACAACCTTTGCTATTCACCTTAGCTATGACTCTCAAACCTCTATTGAGGTCACCCCTCAACCTCTATGCTCCAGTGAAAAATGTCCCAGCCTATTTTTATAACTCAAACCCTCCATTCCGTGCAAGATCCTGGTAAATCTTTTCAGAACTCTCCCCAGTTTAATAATATCCTTCCTATAACAGGGTGACCAGAACTTCACTCACCAATGTCTTGTTCAACCTCAACATGACATCCCAACTCCTATACTCAAAGGTCTCATCAGTGAAGGCAAGCATGCTAAATGACTTCTTTAACCACCCTGTCTACCTGTGACGCAACTTTCAAAGAATTATGTACCTGAGCCCATAGGTCTCTCTGTTCTACAACACTATCTAGGGCTCTACCATTAATTGGATAAGTCCTGCCCGTTTGTTTTACCAAAATGCAATAGCTTGGCATTTATCCAAAATAAACTCCATCTGCCACTCCTCAGCCCATTGACCCAACTGATCAAGATCTTTTTGTTATCTAAGAAAACCTGCTTCACTGTCCACCAAACCACCAATTTTGGTGTCATCTGCAAACTTACTAACCATGCCTCTTATAATAACAAATCATTTACATAAATGACAAACAAAAAGTGGACCCAGTACCGATCCCTATGAAACACCGCTGGTCACAGGTCACTAGTCTGAAAAACAAACCCTCCACCACCATCCTCTGTCTCCGACTGCAAAGCCAGTTTTGTAGCCGATTGGCAAGCTCACCCTGAATCCCATGTGATCTAACTTTACTAATTAGTCTACCAAGCAGAAACTTATCAAAGGCTTTACTAAAGTCGAAGTAAACAATGTCTACCGCTCTGCTGTCATCAACCTTTTCGGTTACTTCCTCAAAAAAACTCAATCAAGTTTGTGGGGCTACGATTTCCCTGGTACAAAACCATGCTGTCTATCCCTAATCATTCCTTGTCTCTCCAAAACCGTGCAAATTCTATCTTTCAGGATCACATCCAACAACTTATCCACTACTGACGTGGGACTTACAGGTCACAGGTCTACAGCTCCCAGGCTTCTCCTTACAGCCTTTCTTAAATAAAGGCACAACATTAGCCACCTTCCAGGCTGATGGCACCTCTAAGGGCTAGGGGTGAGGGACCCCGCTATTTCCTCCCTAAATTCCCACAACGTCCTGGGGTACACTTGATCAAGTCCCAGAGATTTATACACATTTATGTTTTCTACGACTTCAGCACTTCCCTTTTGTAACGTGAAATGTTTTCATAACATCAATATTTATTTGGTCGAGTTCTCTAGCCTCCATTTCTTTCTCCACAGTAAAAACTGTCACAAAAACCTCTCCTGAGGTTCAACACAAAGACGACTGATTTTTAAGGGGCCCTACTTTCACTCTAGTTGCTCTTAACATACTTGAATTATCCTTAACCTTACCTTCCAAGGGTCTCTCATATCCCCTCTTTGCATTCCGATTTCCCTCTTAAGAATGCCCCTACATTCTTTATACTTCTCAGCAGATTCATTTGATTCCAGTTGTCTAAATCTAATATGATTCTTTATTATTTTGACTAGAACCTCAATATTTTTATTCATCCATTGTTCCCTAATCTTACCAGCCTTACTCTTCATTCAAGCAGGAACATAATGCCTCTGAACTCTGGTTATTACACTTTTGAAAGCCACCCACTTGTCAGTTGTTCCTTTACCTGTGAACAGTCTACTCCAATCAACTTTTGAAAGTTCTTGACTCATACCATTGAAATCTGCCTTACTCTAATTAAGCACTTTAACTTTTATGGAAAGTTCATCCTTTTCCATAACTATTTTAAAATGAATAGAATTATGATCACTAGTCCCAAAGTGTTTCCGACTAACAATTTACTTGCCCTGCCTTAATTCTCAAGAGGATGTCAAATTTTACTCCTTCTCTAGTAGGTACATTTACATATCGATAAAGAAAACTTTCGTGAACACATTTAACAAATCCCTCACCATCCAAACCTTTAACACTATAGCAGTCCTAGTCAATGTTTAGTAAATTAAAATCCCCTACTATTCCAGCCCTATTATTCATACATACGTATGAGATCTCCCTACATATCTGCTCCTCAATTTCCCTCTGACCATGAGGGTCCTATAGTACAATCCCATCAAGGTGATCATTCCTTTCTTATTTCTATTTTAAACCCATATATTTTCACTGGACGATCCCTCAGAAATATCCTCTCTAATACAATTGTAATGTTTTCCTTAATCAAAAATGTGACTACCTTCCTCTCTTGCCTCCCTTTCTACTCTTCCTATAGCATCTAAAACGTGGAACATCGAGCTGCCAGTCCTGTCCTTCCCTCAGCCAAGTTTCTGTAATAGCTATAATGTTCCAGTCCCATGTTCCGATACATGCCCTGAGTTCGTCAGCCTTACTTTTAAGGCCCCCGCATTGAAATAAATGCAGTTTAATTCTTCGAGTTACTTTTGTCTGTCGTTTCTAATTAACTTGCTCTTTACTGATCCAGAACCATCCTCATCTGTTTTACTATTTTCACTGCTACTTAGGAATCCCCCACCTCTCCTCTCTAATAGTTTACAAGCTCCTGAAATAGAATTAGCAAATCTCCCCACCAGGATATTGGCTCCTTTCCAGTTCAGGTGAAACCCGTCCCTTTTGAACAGGTCTTCACTAAACGTCATGGAGAGATGACTAGATATTGTCTTTTTGGAGACTGTCCTGGCTTGGTACCTTCAGAGCACAATCTTACCTACCACTTATCAGCCCAAACCTAAATGTTGTTCATAGCTTTTTGAATAATTGAAGGCATTCTTAAGGGTACCTACCTATTAAATATAGTATGTATTATAAACCGGCTCTCCATCATATCAAATTCATTCCTCAGGCACATGACTGACAGCCCTATATGCCCACTAAAGTAAAGTTAATTGAAATGCTGAAACAGAAACAGTCGAGAAACAGAACTGAGGAGGTGATTCTCAATGAATTATTCTCTGGTTTTGCATGTACACTTTGAAACTCTCTGTTTTTGATTCTTGAACCATTTTCACAAAACAGTGTGAAAATTACAACTCAAACTACATTATAGCTTCATTCAACTGTCAAATTCACAGCATATCCAATTAGTTAAATGTTAAAAATAGTTAATTGCAAAATTCGCTCACCGAAAACGTAGTTACAGTTGGATTGATGTATCCCGCACAGTATAAATCTGAAAGAAAACAACAAATTAAAATTGTACCTTCAACATTTTTTTAAACTGAGATTATTGTGCTTATGTCAATGTTAAGAAGGTACTTGCAGAACACATTTAAATTGGTTGAGTATGTATGTTGTTGGATAGCTATTGTGGTACTGGTGGTAGTGTCCCTACCTCTGAGCCAGGATATCCAGATTCATGTTCCACCTGCTCCAAAGATGTGTCACAAAATATCTGAGCAGGTTGATTAAAAATATGTATATATGTGCAAAACTTATCAGCACTGAAACATAATACACAATTTGATATCAATAGCAAATTTTGATACCGCTCCTTCAATGATCAAATCGGGATCATTAATAGCATTCTAATGTGAAATCTTATGGAAAACTCCAACCTTAGACCTTTCTGATAGGAGTAAAGTCTTGACACCTTTTGCTTTAGTCTCCCAACCACTTAAGTATATAATAGTTACACATGGTCTGTAATTTGTAAGATACACCATATTAAAGGCAATTGTAGCAAATTTATCAGATGCTTGTAGAAATTCAACATAAATCACATTCACTGAATTTTCTTTATTTTTTTAATAGTGGAGAAAATGAAAAGTTGAACAAGTACTTGTTGACTGGTCCTGATTAGTTCACACCTTTCTACCTCTTTAGTAATTTCATCACATAAAAGTTTCTAGTTTACCAACTAAAAATTAATCATTTTATAATATCATTGTTTAGCACAACATCATTTTTTTGAAGAGGGAAAATGGCAGTTTGCTATTTTCTGGTACTATATTACAATTTTCATTTGTATAGAAACTTGGAAAATTATTAGGCAACATTCCTTCCTCAACTTCCATCAACATTCTCAGATGTGAGTGCAAGTACCGCTTATAAAATGCACCTTATACAGAAGTATTCCGAGGTACTTGATAGATCAAAAAATTTCATTCTAAGCCAAACAAAAATATTTGATGGGTGTTATCAAAGCTTAGTTAGATGGGCAACTTTACGTGACTTAGACCTGGAGCTCTATGAAAGAATTTCAGAAATTGAGACCTAGGTAACAAGACTTAATGGTGAGGCTGATATATTTGTGCTGTAACCCTTAGACTTAAAGAAGAATTAGTACGTGCATGTGTTGTCATCCTTCAAGATTCTTTAGACTTTGCAACAGTTCCTATAGATTGGCAGGTAGCCACTGTAACCTCACTATTTAAAGAAGGGCACACAAAAAAAAACAGGGTATTATAGACTGATTAGCGTGACATCGGTAATAGAGAAATTACTAGAGTCCATTATAGAAGATTTAACAGCAAAACACTTCTAAAACAGTGACAGGATTGGACAGAGTTAGCTTGGATTTACAAAAGGGAAGTCATGCTTGACAAATCCATTGGAATTTTTCAAGGCTGTAACTAATAGAGTTGATCAGGGGAACCAGTGGATGTGGTTCACTTGGACTTTCAGAAGGCATTCGATAAAGTCCCAAGTAAGAGATTAGCATGTAAGACTAAAGTGCATTAGGGGTAGCACACGGACATAGACATTTAGCCGGCAGACAGGAATCAAAGCAGGAATAAACGAGTTAATTTCTGAATGTACCATGGGGATCAGTGCTTGTACCTCACCTATTCAAAATATACATTAATGATTTATGTTAGGGAACTAAACGTAACATCGCCAAGCTTGCAGACGACTGTAAGCTGGGTAGGAGGGTGAACTGTGAGAAATATGCAAAAAATGTTTCAATCTGATATGGAAAGGTTCAGATGAGTGGACAAATGCATGGCAGATGAAGTATAACTTAGATAAATGTGAGGTTATCCACTTTGGCAGCAAAAACAGGGAGGCAGATTATCTGAATGGTAATAGGTTGGGGTAGGGGAAGGTGCAACAGGCAGTGAAGAAGTTAAATGGTATACTGGCCTTCCTGCAATTGTACAGGATCTTGGTGAAACAACACCTGGTGTATTGTGGGCAGTTTTGATCTCTGTCTGAGCAAGGATGCTCCGACTGTGGAGGGAGTACAACAAAGGTTTACTGGACTGATTTCTGGCTTGGCAGGACTGATGTATGAAGAGAGACTGAGTTTATTATTTACTGGAGTTTAGAAAAATAAGGGGGTCCTCATAAAAAACGAGGAAATTCCAACAGGATAATAGAGGGTAAATGCAGGGAGTTTCCCACTGACCATGGGGTTTTCACGACACACGCTAGAACACAGACTGTGGATCTATGCAGGGAAGCTACCAAACTCCATTTGACCAGGTAGCCATCACTCTCCACCCCCTAAACCCAGACAGAAACACAGCAGCTCTCTTGTGTTGGCCTGCTGGTTGTGAAACACAACTTATTGCAGGAGCCCTACAGATCCTGTTACCAATTCAGAAGAGGAGGACAGGATTGGCTAGTGGGTCTAGCCAAGACCAGCAGGACAGGAAGGAAGGCCAAGGCCCCAAAACTAGACACGAGGAGCAAGCCCACTTAGTAATGGCTCAAGCAAACCTCAAGGGGTGGCAGAGGGTTGAGAAAAAAAAGGTGCTGCAAATCCTATGATGCTGCTACTAGGCAGCAGCCACAATACTACCAGGAACAAATAATGACCTCAGCGGGATCTGCAGATTACCACAGGCAGCATCACCCTGGATTTCACGCTCAGAGAGACCACTAAAGGAGGCTCTAAGAGTAGAATGTTAAAGTTAAAAAGATAAAAAGGAAAGGTGTATTTATTTTAACAATTATTTCATTTATGAATATAAGGAATTTTGCCATTTAAAGTATATATTTCGACTCAAAGGGTTCAGGTAAAACATTTTTCATTTTTTTCCTGCTAAGGAAGGTCCTACAGAACCTAACCTCCACTTTAACATGAATTAATGCTGACGTCAAGTCATTTAACTTAAAGTTGTCAATCTCAGGAATGTAACCACAACTTTGAATGAGGACATCTGTAACTGCTTTCAGTAGTCAGGACGAAAGATAAATCCACAATTTCACACTTCAATTGCTGGTTTCTGACCTGCTCAAGTTTCAGTTGGATGTAACAGTTCTAACTTTTAGTTAATAAAGTTACAATTAAGCATAAGCAGGTTAAAAATGATCATGACATACATGGATAAGATTTGATTTGCCTGCCTTAACATAAAATGACTACTCAAACGTTCGTCTGACTTACAACAATCCATTTTGATCCACACATGAATTGGATTGCATACTTTCGACAGTCAGCTGGTGGGAACAGCGATAAAGCAATGCAAATATTTGGCTGTAGACAGCAAAGTGTCAGATTAGTTAATATTCAAAACAATGCAAAATCTGATAAACTGCAGTAATAATTTGGAATTCTATGTTAATTAATGAAGCGCAGTTTGGATTGAAGTAGATTTTTAAAAACAAACCACAGTACACAATATCATATGCTTCCTTATGTAATACGTGATTTGATTTGTAAACATTCATTGTTTTGAATATTCCATTTCAGTCAATACTGCTGGATGTAAAATTACCTGCTTAAATTATCTTCTTTCCTGTACATATAAGTAGTTGCTATTACCAATATTTCCAACTCAATAAGAAACAAAGACTTGCATTTTTATAGTACTTTTTATGATGATCTGCTGTCTCTTGAGCACTTTATAACCAACAAAGTACATTTTGCAGTGTTGTCACCTTTGACGTGGAGAATTCAGTAGCCAATACAGACACAGTAAACTCCCCGCAAAACAACAATGAGATCACACCAGATAATCTGTTTATGGTGATGTTAATCAAGAGATTAATTTTGACTAGACTTCCCTGCTCTTCAAAATAAAGGAGGATTTTGGATCTCTACCATCCAACTAAAGTAAACGAGGCCTCAGTTATAGCATCCCATCTGAAAGATGACACCTCTGACATACTACTCTCTCACTACTGCTTTCAAACATCAACCTTAATTTCTGTGCTTAAACCCTGGAGTGGGATTTGAAATCAGAAGTGAGACAGTTAGGAACTGAATCAGAGCTGACACTGCAAAACTGCAGCTCATTGTGAGCTCATTGTGCTTGCAACTCCACCTGCCACTCAGCCATGTGGTCTGCTGCCTTTTTGGTTCCGTAAAATCTACAGAAACATTTGCAACCAGGCAAATATTTGAAAAAATAACACTTTATTGCTTCTGCAGCTGTTAAGATAGCTTTGAACTGCTCAATATTACAGATGGCCCTAATCTTTGATGCAGAAAGTTACCAGTGATATCTTTTGGCAGTGATGACAAAGGCACTGCGACTGCCTGATCAGTGAGGCAGTTGCAGTGGTAGCAAGCACAATTTAAAAACCAGCCTTTCTTAAATGTGCTCCAAATTTGGAACTTTTATCATTATGAAGGAATGGGCAGAAAAACTGATGTCTTTTTTATTCATTTATGGGAGGTGGGTGCTGCTGGCTGGCCAGCATTTCTTACCCATCCCTAGTTGCCCTTGAGAAGGTGGTGGTGAGTTGCCTTCTTGAACCGCTGCAGTCCTCCTGCTGTGGGTTGACCCATAATGCCATTAGGGAGGGAATTCCAGGATTTTAACCCAGTGACAGTGAAGGAATGGTGATATATTTCCAAGTCAGGATGATTGGCTTGGAGGGGAACTTGAAAGTGGTGGTGTTCCCGTATGTCTGCTGCCCTTGTTCTTCCAGATGGAAGTGCACATGGGTTCAGACTACTTTAAAACAATTTAGATATAAAGGCATTCAGAGTGGCCTGCAAAATTTGGCCTCTGGTGACCTGGTGTCTAACTCAAGAATTCAATCATTTATCATTGTTATCAGAATTTTTGCTCTTAAACCATTTCTCAGGAATTCAGCTTCAATCACTGGAATTTAAGCTGTTCCATCTTTGGCATTAAGAGAAATTTGTTGAAATGTTTCCCCTTTGAAATCCATCAATCACCTGTGAACAATTTAGAAAAGTAAGTGGGTTTGGGATAGTGTGTTCAAACCAGCACATTACGAAGCTGGTTCCGATCCATCAACTTGCAGGCTTCACAGCA